TTTTCTTATGATAATAAGATGATATATTCAATGGGGTTTATGAATTAGAATGAATATTTAAATCTAATCTTCGTTCAATTGTGTTTAAAAAAAAAAAACTAAAATTGCCCCAACATATTAAATGTTGATACTAAATTACCAACTCTAATTTAATTATAGCTTTGTAGCACCCTTAATATTTGAATTTTTTTTTCATCAATAAACATACAAACCAAAACTAGTTAAAACATTAACTATGAATATATTGGGTGAGTGGTCACTTTAAGTTGTAATTCCAAGCAAAACGGTCAAAATAGACTGGGTAAGATGAATAGAAATTTTGGAAAATGTAGAAAAAAAAAAAAAAAAACTGGACTGTGATTCCTCACATGGTCTGCATGAAAGTAGGGAAACGTCTAAATCCTATCCCCTAAACAATTAATACAATACATAGGAAAAAATATTAATTTTTTACTTTTAATATTCTATCTTCTTTTCTCGAGAACCATGGGACAAGGAGGGTGGGTGAGTGGGTGGTAGAATTGAATTCTGTGCTAAAAGATATGCAATGAAATTATCAAATTAAACAGCCAAACAGGTACCAGATTTCAGTGAGAGTGTAGCAGAAAACTATGTAACTTATCATGTTTCTATCATCCCTATGTATGTGTACCGTGTAGTACATACAATATATGCTTAGGGTTAGAAGTAAACAAAGAATTGATGATGTACTGCCTTTCGCTAACATTCTCTGCTCTGCTAATTTCTTCCTTCATTGTTTCACCGCCACTCACTCAAATTCACGTTAATATATATCCACCATCCCCATACCAACATATATATATATATATATATATATATATATATATATATATATATATATATATATATATATATTGGTTTAAAGGAAAACAAGGCTTCTCGTGCGGTCGTGCGGTTTACACCATTAGGTATGTTGTATACATAAATACACCCTACAGTGTTTGAAAATTTCACCAAAATAAAATGTCATAAAATGCACCACACATAATGGTGTATTTTCGAACACTGTGTGGTGCATTTATGCATACATAATGGTGTAAACTGCACCGACCACACGGGAAGCTTTATTCTCACCGGAACCTGACCATATATATATATATATATATATATATATATATATATATATATATATATATATATATATATATATATAATTCAATTCCCGTGCGGTTGTGCGGTTAAATATGAACCATTTAATGATAATGTTTGGTGCAACTAATGATAACATTAGATGCACTTAATAATGTTGCTCGATGTATACATATATTGTTGCACTATATGAATTTGATACTTGTACATTTTACTTGCACTATTGTTGCGCACTCTATGAAGCTATTACTTCCACTTTTAACACAATTTAGTTACAACTTCAAAGTTCAAATTACTTACAAAAATGTCACCGTATTTTTTTAAAAGTTGCTTCTGATCCGTTTCATCTTTCCAGATAGGCGGTTGTGATTGGTTTCTAGTTCTCTTATGCATCAGTTCTCATTTGGACCATTTCACACACACACGCACGCACACGTGTGTGTGTGTGTATATATAGTGAGGTTCCCGTGCGGACAGTACTGTTGGGAAAATTAAAGATGAAAGCATTTAATGTTGGTCCATGTCCACCTACACCCCTTTGACTTTGGAATAAGAAATTGAGAATCCATTGCATTTCATGGGCACACAGTGCGCTCCTTTGTAAGGAGCAGCGCCTTTGGCGCTAAAGTGTGGACAACACACTGTGTCCGTTATGTGGGTGGGATGGAGGGGCTGCTTACTATAAATAGCAGCTTCGAACATCGTTTCAAAACACACCTTGAATTCGAGTCATTTATTCGATTCTCCTTCTCCCTCCCGTCGTCTGAGCAATAGTGAGGTTCGCCTACGCGATTGCTAGTGCAAGCTATCCGTAGTAGGTCTGTGTAGCCGGTCGAAAGCGTGCCAGGGTTCTAACTGCACCGTTACCGGGCAAATAACGCTTTTAAGGTAGTATTATTATAACACGGCACAGATTTTCTTTCTACCATACATCCGTAGTGTCCGTGCGTCTTAAAAGGCTTCCAGATCGCGCGTTGGCGTTGCAATTTCCCCAACAGTTAAAAGCGTTAATTTGCAACAGTCAACCTTTAGCATTATGACACCTTCTGTCATACCGGATCTATCAAAGATCACCGCGCTTGATGGGAGAAATTACAACAGATGGGCTCAAAGAATGCTTATTCTTTTTGAACAATTAAAGTTGGTTTACGTGCTATTTTCAGTTGCACCTGAACCTACTCCAACAGTGTTCTCTCCGTTTGGTGCTACAAAATGTAATCATGAACCTGATTACACTCCGGGTAAAGAATCGAGAGAAAGCAGTCCTGAAATAGATTACATTCCGGGTCAAGAACCGGGTGTAACTCTGACTCAATTCAGAAATGACAATGCGGCAGCCAGAGGATACCTACTGTCACAAATGAATGACGAATTGTTCGACATCTATGTCAAACAAGATTCGGCAAAAGTCATTTGGGAATCACTGTCAGAAAAGTACGGTGCCAATGGAAATGAAAATCAAAGTGTCAGAACCGTCTACAACGAAAGGAGTAGAAAAATCAAGAAGTTTAAAGGAATGTGTTTTGCGTGCAGAAAGCAAGGACACCGAGCACACCAGTGCTACCATCACAAGGGCAAAACCAGCAAAAGTCAATCTGACAGAACAAGATGAGTATTGAGTCTCTTTAAAGAAATAGTTATTTTGAGTAACTATTTTTGCTCTGGTTCTAAGGGTTCGCATGAAGTATGGTTATCTTAGTGTTGAGCAGTCTAGATTTTGATTACTTAGTAGTACTTATTTCTTTAGTGTTTTGAATGCTAATGACATTGATTGAAATAATTCGTGCATAGATATTGCTCAAATCTTTTACCAAAATTATTTGTATAAAAATAAGAGCATATATCATAGGCTTCAATTGTAATTTAGTGAGAACATAGAAAAGTCATCATTCTTGAACACTCTGTCTAGGAAGATGGTTTTTAAGTAAACTTCGGTTTCACCACTCGACCTGGGAGTTTTTAAGAAGTAGGGTGTTGATCATGCAGGCTAGTTAGAGCGCCACTTGATCTTTACCTGAAATGAGGTTGACTTTCATATGTTGCTAATACAATCAAAGCCTTGCAATAGAAGTTGTTGAAGTACTGCAATAGTAATATTGATTTGCATCCTATGAATGCTTTATATGAGTTTTAAATTCCTTAAGGGAAGGAAAAATTGTGCTAGTGGCAATTCTGAAGTCTCATTGTTGAGAGACATTCCGAATAAATATGAACTCAAACATATTCCTAGTTAAAGAGTAATTATGATCAATTGAGATAACCAAGTTTGTTGAAATATATTCAACTGTTGAGCATGTATCAGGCAAAGTGCGAAGCTTCTATAATGCTACACAAAGCAAATCGGCAAAACTCAGTCTACAAAGGAGCTAAAGTTGGGCACCAAATATCAGTCTGGGTAAGAGATCAAATACGTTTGACAAAATTATTTGTAAGTGTTGCATTGTGGGGGTAATAAACTCCTTATATTTTCATCAAAGTTTCTCTGTGGTATTGAGAATAATGATGAAAGAGAATGTTTCATGTTAAACATGAAAATCTCAAGGGATTATTTACGAGTAAACGAAGTACTCGTCAAAATGCATGTAAGTTTGGTCAAAAGAATCAACTTACTTGAGGGCTAATTATGAGGATTAGTCGTTGACTCATTGGAAGGACTTGAAGTCCAAGTGGTAATGAATTCGTGGTGAATCCCACTTCTGTGGTCAAACGAAGCCATGAAAAGAGTTACAAAATAGTACACTAGTTGGTCATTCCGACAGTGTGTGTACTTGTGAGGTTGAGCTACAGCTCTTAATGAATTCATAACTCTTTGAGAAAGGGTGGTTTTGTTGAGACAAACCTAATGAATTCACCGCATGTGAGGTTGAGCTACAACTCTTAATGAATTCATAACTCTTTGTGAAAGGGTGGTTTTGTTGAGACAAACCTAATGAATTCACCGCATGTGAGGTTGAGCTACAACTCTTAATGAATTCATAACTCTTTGTGAAAGGGTGGTTTTGTTGAGACAAACCTAATGAATTCACCGCATAATGACATGAGTACAAAGTGCTCTTGGTGTCTTATACTCAATTGGGATGGTCTATGTTGAGATAGACCTAAAAGAGATCCCTAACTTGAGTAGAAAAGGGCTAACCGCCTCTTATGAAAGATAATGGGATTATCCCAAGAAGCTGAGTGGCTAAGAAACATGGAGATAACCGTGTAATTGTGGGAGTGCCCAACACCTTCACCACATTGTGATTCACAAACTGTCATTTGTGTTGCGCAAAACAATGTCTGCTATGGGAAACGTGCGGTCATGCGGTCACGCACCATTAGGTACGCATATATGCACCACAAATTGTACCATTAGGTGTGATGCATTTTTTTGGTGTAATGCATTTTGTGTTGTATTTGTACATTTTATTTTGGTGCATTTTTAAACATTGTATGATGCATTTATACAATATATATGTGTGTAGTTCTAACTTAATAATGATGAATATCTTCAAATGTCAGCCTTAAAATTAAACTTGCCATCCAATTGAATCTAACTTAGGGACAATTATGATATGTGAGTTAGGTTAAGGAGAATGTATTCATTGGACGAATATGATTGTCTTGCATTCTTGATCTTTTTAGCCATTTATTGATCATTAAAAAAAAAAAAAATTAACCACTCTAATTAAATAATATATATTGTTTCAACTAAAAATTAAAGTTGATATCAACACATTAACGTATTATATATATAGTGTTTCTTTAATCTAAACTGATAATTAGACACTAAGACGATAAATAAATATACACGTCTCTCTATGTAAAATAACATAAATTAAACCATGACTAAAACATCATATAAAACTATGTAAAGATGGACAAGTTAGAAAAGCTACAAAATACATGTCTCTTGTAATGCTGCCCTTTGATTCAAATTAGAAAAGCTACAAAAATCAACCAAAGTTAATAAGAATCCAATCCAATTCAGGATGCTGAGGAAACTAATTTAATCTCTCTATGACATAACGTAACTAAAAATAAAGGAAAAGAAATTTGTCTACTGACACGTGGGTGTCTGGCCTCCCTAGATCAAGTGCCGGAAATGGGGCCCAATATGTTGATGATGAATCAAGTAATCGTCACCGTTGGATACGTCGAACATCATCTTCTGATGAAGGAATTGGTGGTGGTGCTGTTGGGCCCGAACAAGCTCCTTTTGCCTTCTAATCTCCAGAACTTTACGGTGAGAATTGGAGTGTTTGGTAAGCACGAACGTCGGGCTGGACGCGGGCCGGTACTCGGGCACTAGCCTACCCGACTTGTACCTAACCCCGCATGCATTGCAGAGGGTTTTCGGGCCCATGGGGCCCGTTCGCCATTGCGGCGTCTTGTCCGTTGCGCAGTGGAGACACTTCCGCCCTTCGCCGTTGCTGCCCGCCGCCGCCGCGGCGGCGGCGGCGGCGTCCTTCTTCTTCGGAGCCGCCGTCTTCTTCCCGGAGCTGGACGTCGTCAAGTCCGACTCCGAAGACGACGAGATGGCAGGGGTGGTGGTGGTGGTGGTGACGTTGTCGACGGAGGGTGATAGGGACACCAAGAGGCGGGACGTCCAGTTGCATGGCGCGGCGGCGCGTGAACGCTTGCTCCGTGCCTTGGCCGGCACTGCCGCCGCCATCTCGGGCCTGAAAGTAGTAGCCGGGTTGGGTTCGGGCTGGAAATGGTGGGTTTGGGATTGGGATTGGGATTGGGATGATTCATCCTCATTCCCAGCCTTCATTCCCGAAATGAGCTGAAGCTTCTGCAAATCCTCACTGGAAAATGATTCCTCCACGAAATTCGATAACCACTCAAGCTCAGCAACATCCTCGTACTGTAATCAAATTATTCCAATTTCAGCTACAACATAACATCAATTCTTATCTTATTCTATAAACTATGATTCAAAATTTAAGTGTCTGTATTTAATACATTCTATCTGCACTTATCAATTTTTGTACTTGTAAATAAATTGAAGGCATATGAATAACTATAAACACAAATTGTCAATTGCGGATATATAATATGTTTATTGCAGACACATGAGATGTTTGCTAACATGCATATTATGTGTATGCAATTAACATATTCTATACCCGCAATTAATAGTTTATATATTTGTAGTTATTATGTTATGTGTCTGTAATTATCATATGATGTGCCTTTAATTTGTTTACAATTACAAAACCGATTAACTATAAGTATAGAATGTATCAACTACCAGTACAGAATCTAAAATTACGTTTGGACCAAAATCCACAATGTAAAATAACCCTGATCCATAGTATAATTTCCACATAACATTAAACATGTATACCACCCAACACATAACACTTTGATATATATATATATATATATATATATATATATATATATATATATATATATATATATATATATAGATCCTATTAATCCTAGTCCATGCTAGAAATAGATTAGGATTTTCCTTCAAAGTTTTGAAATTTGAAGCTGTTTTTTTCTTCTTTTCCTTTCCTAGAGAATTCTTTTCAAGATGACCCACAATGTCCGATATTGCGTTGAATTTTCGTCCCTTTTCCTAAAGTTCAAAATTTTCAATTCGCAGTAAAGTCACACATTTCTCTTTCTAGAAGAAAACAAACCCAAAAAAAAAAAGAAAAAAAAAAAGAAGAAGCCCATCAAACCAAATATTTCACCTCAATTCAAACGTATTTTACGTACAAAAGCATTAAAGTTGTATATGCCAGCCTCGTAGACTTTATTTACGAGGTTGGGCTGGGTACTCTCGGGTCTGGTCGGCCCGATCAGTAAAGTTCGACTTCAGAAAAACTTTATTGTAGTAAAAATAGTAATAAGTGCTTAACGTTTAATATTCACATGTGCTTATATGCTTGCAGCTATATAATTTATAGTATTTCTTTTCTCAAACGGTTGAATTCTCAACTCTAAAGCTCTACACATCCCGACCCAACAAAATATAACTATGACTTTGTTTGGCACGTCAAACAAAAAACAAAAAGTTAAAAATTTAGTACCGAGTACCTAATAAGCTAACTAATTGAAATTAAAGTGTTTGGTAAAATTAATTATTGAATTAGTTTATAAGTGTAAAATATATAAAGGGATAAATTAAGATATTAACATTTTGATTATTGAAGGGTAAATAGTATTATTTTTGTAAACTAATAAAGATCAAAAGGGAAAAAGCCTGGAGAACTCAAGTAGTAGTTTCAAAATAAGTTACTCCATTCGTCACATTTTTTGTCTAGTTTGATTAACAGTGCTTAAATGAAGTTATTTTTAATTCAATTTTTTATAATATTAAATTTTGTATAATATATATATAAAATTTATACATTTAACAACTACATTAAAAATATTATCAAACACTAAAAATTAAATTTAAGAAAAAGTAATGAAGAAAAAAAAATGATATCCCCAATCAACAATAAACATGACAGGAAAAATGAGACAAAACTATTTTACAAAACAAAGCTTATAAATTATAATTAAAATTAAAATTGCATGAGGAATTTAAAATTACCGGGACAAAAAATTCGCCGGAGAAGGGAGCGTCGGTGAGGTGGTTGCGGCAGGCAATGGCAGGGGCGAATTGAGTGGCGGCGGAGAAGGGGGAGGAGTTGCAGGCGGTGGCGGAGGAGGAGTCGGCGGCGAGAGCAGCGGCGTCGGCGTCGGAAACAACGGCGAGCATGGTGTCATCGTTGGGGAAGTCGAGGAGGTCGTCGACGACGAAATGGTCGGCGGCATTATTATTGTTCTTGGAGTCGGCGGTGGCGGAGGGGTGGCGCTTGTCGGGGGTGAATTGGGTGGTGTAGTGAGTGGGGGGTTGGAAAAAATCCGGCGTTTCCATGGTAATAGTCGAGCGAGAGTGAAAGAAGGAGAAATTTGCTTGGTTAGTGTGTGTGTGTGTGAGAGAGAGAGAGAGAAAGGAAGTAATGTGTTGGGAGGAGAGAGAGAGGTGGGAGAGGGAGAGAAGGAGAGGGTTTATTTGCGTTTGAAGGGGGACAACAGGACAGCTGAATTTTTGGATTTTAATTTGACGAGGAAATTTCTTTTTTCTTTTTTCTTTTTTCTTTTTCTTTTTCATAAATAAAACCTAGACTTTTTTTTTTTTAATTTTATTTTATATAAATATCTACACTGCAGTCTGCAGTACTGCACATTGCTAGCTTTTGGTAATGTATAGTAGGATAGGATTGCATGAACTGAGCTTCAAATTTTACAGATTTCTCAGCTCCAATGTAGTTATATTCTACCTTGTCGGTGAACACAAATATAAATATTAAACTCAATTCACTTTGAACAGGGCCGTATTTTAAATTTTGGTGGCCCTGTTCTGGTAAATAAATGTGGCCCTACCAAAATCACAATTTTTAAAATCAATACATGCAAGTTTCGAACCTTTGACCTCCAAGTTAAAATACAATAAATATACATTTTTACCATCTCTTCATAGAACCTTTTAAGTTTAATTGAAAACTCTTAATTTTTATTTCTAAACTAGCTAGGTAAAAATTAAATATTGGACCTATAAAATTTGGGGCCCCTCTAAAATTGGGGGCCCTGTGCGGTAGCCCAGCTTGCACAGCCTAAAATCCGGCCCTGACTTTGAAATTTGATGTTTAAACTTGACCTATATAGTACTCGGTATGAGTATCCGGGTTGGACTTCCATTTGGAAGGTTACGAGTTCGAGTCTCAGTGGAGGCGTTATTGGTTCTTTATGCTTCAGTAGGTTGAGGTGGACGGTGGACCCAAATTCAAATATACACTATTCACATACTAAACGTTTAGAATTTATCTTTTAAAAAAATCACTATTTGTGATGACTCTGTATTGTATTCACACATTCTCAAAATGTTCAGAGTTCCAATACTAAAACTACACAATTTAGGACCAAGGGTCCACCTTGCAAGGTGGACATTGGTCTATGGTATAACAACTGGTATTATTTTTAGCACTCACAAAAATATTTTTTTTTTTTTGGGTATACTCATGGTTTTCACCGTCAGACACAGTGACTAATTCCCTCGCTGAATTGTAGGTACCTCTTTTGGGTGGGACAGCTGGCCTGGAGATTTAAGGCTGCTTCGTTCACAAAGCCAAGGATCGAACCCTTGACCTTTGATTAAAAAAAAATATTATTTTAAGATTGAAGTAGTTCTTTTGTAATTTTATATTTATAAACCAGACATATTTCATTAGGTATGAAACTAGTGTGGTGACTAGTATGAGTATATGAGTGAGGCATTTGGTGATGGGGGTGTTATAATCACGACCGGTGCATCGGTGGACCACACGTGAGGTGTAGTGTGAGAATGAATATATAGATGATGGAGGAGAAATATGGGGAATGGGCAATGCCTCTTTACTCTCATCTTTACTTAAGAAGAAGGTCACCTCTCCAACCCCCCCCCCCCCCCCCCCCCCCCCAAGCCCCTTTGAGATGATAGGGGAATTCATTAATGTGAGAAAGTGTTGGAGTGTGCAACCACTTTGTGATCATCATATCATTCATGTATGCCCAATTGTGGGTTTATTCAATCTTTATACAACCATAAAATCAAGTGAACTAATAAGATTGGACCAATTTGAGTTTCATTCATTCCTTCATAATTCAAAGTTGTTTAAAATTTTAAAGAATGAGTCATAACCTTACATATTTATTTTAAATTTCTTCTTCAATTTTTCTCTAATAGCGTAGCATTATCTAATTGCATATTTTAGTATTTGATTCTTAACTATATATATTTTAACTCGTGATGAGTTAACTAATTCATGAGTAACCAATGAATAAGAAAAATTAAAATGTCACATCAGAATGAAAATATTGAAAGGAAATAACATTATTCTTTTAAAATAACCTTTCAAAGGTGTTTATGGTAGTTTGGTTTTGAAGGTATTTCATGAAAACATATTCAAAATTGTTGACATTTGAAGGAAATTACTTGTGATAATTTTTATAATAATAATTCAAAAGTGCTTATGCTAGTTTGCTTATTACATTTTTTTTATTATTTAAAAGTATTATACGCGTGTCTTATGCAAAATAGTCTCACAAGACTAATTGGAAAGATTGACGCTGTGTTTATTAACTAGAGATGTTCTTCTTTCTTTTTTTTTTTTCTTTTTTTTTTTTTCTTTGGAGAAATGATTGTTTGGAATAAGGATTACTTAATACATTTCTCTATTTTTTTTTTATTGAAAGGAGGGAGAAATTAAACCCAACATACATTTCTCTATATTTTTTTTGAAATACATTTCTCTAATTTGGAAAAAAAATGAAAATGAAAAAAAAAACGGAGAATTAAAGTAAATACAATATCTAGCACCTATATCTATTATCTACTATCTACTATACTAATAAGAGCCCAAGAGAGTTAGGCCTATAATGGGTAGAAAAAATGGCGATCAAAATTTTTAATCAAATGAGTGGTTCAGATTGATCAGATTTTTTCTTAAGATTTACTAATTTATCCTTAATGAATATGATTATCCGTTAACTTTTCCGTTAAATATTATTTTTTCCGTTAATTTCTGTTAGTTCACCGTTAACTTACACATTGATTTCAATAAGAAAGGTTTTAGGTTCGTTCGAACCCCATCCCAACCAAAGTTAGCATAATTAGTACTCTATTTTACTTTTATTAAATTAAATAATAATTTAGTAGCTACAACAAAAAATAATACATATGCATTTCTTTAATTTAGAATTATGTGTCTACAATGACTTATTAAAAAAAATTATTCATTATCAATAAATTAAATAACCTGGACTATGTGGTCTAATGGTACCCGGGTTGGACTTCCATTTGGAAGATTACGAGTTCAAGCCTTAGTGGAGGCGTTATTGGTTCTTTGTGTTTCAATAGGTTGAGAAAGTATATGAACAGATACTACAATGTAATAGAGCCAGTAACTTTCAAAAAATAAGAGAAATAATTTTATTAGTTATATTGTATTTATTTTTCTCCAATATAAAAATTCTTTATATTCAAATTCATCAATTGATTATATTTGCTACATTGTCCTTACAATGTCTTTGTTAAAAAAAAATTATCATTATCAATAAATTAATTAAGAGAAATAATTTTATTAGTTATATTGTCTTTATATTTCTCCAATGTAAAAATTCTTTATATTCAAATTCATCAATTTATTATATTCACTACATTGTCTATTATCTTTTTTGTGCACTATTTTTTAATTAAATATCAAAATTATAATACAAAATAATGCCCTATATATTTATTTTTCAAGTATTTTATTAATACTATAAAAAAATTATAAAAATATATAATTAATAAAGTCAATTATATTAACTACTTGAGGGATTTGTTGACAATAAAGAGAGTATTCAAATCACACAACAAATTGAAGCGAGAACTACCTCGCAATTTTCTTGTTTGACAACAGTTAGCGGTTAGCATTAGCGGATTATATTAGCGAATTTGACCAGCGAATTATATCAACGGTTGGTAAAAAGATATTTGAAAAAAATCTATTTAGATTAACATGTAAAATGACCTAATGGTATACATATAATAATAATAATAATAATAATAATAATAATAATAATAATAATAATAATAATAATAATAATAATTGTTTTAAAAAAATAAAAAAAATAATAATAAAATATAATTAAGCCAATCATATTAACTACTTGGGGATTTATTGACAAAAAAAGTATTCAAATCACACAACAAATTGAAGTGAGAAACAATCTCGCAATGTCCCTGTTTGGCAATCAGCAGTTAGCTCTTCAATATTAGTATATATTTAAAATTTTATGCCCTAATTTTTATTTGCTCTCCCTTAATTATGTCCCGTATTTGGTTTCAACCATACCTATACAATTATTTTATTGACAATTATAATCAATCTTGACTATATTATCTTGCATTTGTAAACTTAGAATTGCCTATTTAAATACGCAAATTTAACATTCAATTATAACAATTCCAATATAATTTTGCCTTGATATACTTTAAAATAATTATTTAAAAAAAAAATTGGGCATTATCCCAATCGCGCAATGCGCGTAAAAAACTAGTAACATAATAAGCTTCAATCCAAGTTATACCCCTGGTTTATGTCCATGTTTTCCGTTAATTTTTTTTTGTACCTTGTGCTATAAAAGTTGTACTACATAATTTTTTGGACAAAAATATCACTGCCGTTATAACTTTTGTTATCTTTCCACATTATTATTACCATGTACATGCATACACAATATTTTTTCTTACATCCTTCAATGGTAAGTTTGAATTCATTTAGGGTGTGTTTGGAAACCCGGAAAATGATTTCTGGAAATCATTTTCCGGGTTTCTGGTGTTTGGCTACGCAAGGAAAATGAAAGTCAATGGAAAACAACTTATGGTCAATGGAAAATCACACCTATTTTCCGGAAAATGACTTCCCCTTTTTTTTGGGGGAAGTCATTTTCCATCTTCTAAACACACACAGCAAAGCCATATTTCCTCCTTCAACAACACCATACCTTCAGTGGTTTCTGGCCGGAAACCAGAAAAGTTCTCTGGTTTCCGGCGGAAACCAGAGAGAAAGCTCTCTCTGGTTTCCGGCGGAAACCAGCGAGAAAGCTCTCTCTGGCTTCCGGCCGCGGAAACCAGAGAGCTCTCTGGTTTCCGCCTTTCAGGCCGGAAGCCAGAGAGAATGGCGGAAACCAGAGAGTACAACTCTCTGGTTTCCGCCTTTTTTGTTTTGTTTTGTTGTTTTCTTTTTTTTTTTAATTTTTTTTATTAAATAATATTATTTGATTTTATTAATAAATATTATTATTTATAATATTATTGTAAATGTTATATATTTTAAACAAAATAATTAATTATTTAAAATGTTTAATTATACAATTCTATATCATTTCCAGAAAATGAGCCAAACACCAAAAGACAGTTTTCCATTTTGCAGCCAAACACCAGAAAGGAAAATGACTTTTGGAAAATGACTCATTTTCCAGAAGTCATTT